GCATCTTTGTCAGCTCCAGCCTCGAGCAACAATCGGACAACTTCCAACTGGCCGTTCTGGGCGGCAATATACAAAGCTGTTGTCCCATCGGTCCTTGCTGCATCTTTGTCAGCTCCAGCCTCAAGCAACAATCGGACAACCGCCAAGTGCCCTCTGTCAGCCACGAAATGAATGGGCATAGCATTGAAAGCACCACCTCTCCAGTTGGGATCGTACGGTTTCTGAAGCAAGCTTTCAACTTCCCGCACATTATTCTCCCGACAGCCTCGAACTAGCTCATCCCACTTAGTCTTGTCTGGAGCACAAAAGTCCAGGATTACCAGCTGCACACTTGAAACTGGTGTTAGCGGCATGCCGTCATGCAATTCGCCCATCGAATCACTCAAGAGCCTTTGTCGAAATCTTGAGTGTCCGAGCTTAGCTGAAAGGAGCTGCTTTAGGTGCAAAAAGGACTTTCCATGTTCAACCATGTCAAGCAAATCATCCTCATCCATCTGAGCAACTGTTCTGCCAGACACGGCCCTAATCTCCATCATTGAGGCTCACGGTCAAATGAGGTGCCTAGAACAAGCATATTCACTATATGACTGGAAGATCAGCTCAGCACAGGAGTATTGTACTTTGGAATAGCATGGAATAGCTAATGTATTCTGTGAGTGCCCCCATGGTCTAGCATAGACAAGAGTAAGACTGGCCATCCCTCATCTGAGCCATGCTCACAGTCATAATGAAATTCTGAGTGCTTTTCCTCTGCGTGGGGCCTGGGGTGCTTTTTCCAAGACCCTTCCATGTCCGTTCGCCACAAAAACCAAGAAAAGAGGCACCGTGGTCGATGTCCCAGTCCCCATCAGGTTCAATCCCATATCCCAGATGCTCCATGGGACCGGATAATATATATATATATATGTGGCATGTGGTACTAAAATATCCACCCTTTCATCAAACTTACTGATGCATATTGTTTGTTTAATTTAACAAACATCTAATTAAACAAAACAAGTAGGCACTTTACAATTCAAGAAAAAACATAAACAAATCTCCCAGTGGCCCTGCCGCGCGGAGGCGAAGTCGACGCCTCCAGGTTGAAGTAGACGCCGTAGGCTCCGAAGTCGGAGCTGCGTGCCAAAACATCGGCTCCTGTCATTGAAGCTGTAAGATCTATACCAAGAGAGGTTAAGTGACCTTATAGGACCATTCTGGGGTATCCATGTAATAGTCTATAAGGTTCTTCAACCTCTGTTGGTAGACTCTAGACTCTAGACCTCACAAGAGATGCATGGTGCATGCCTTTTGATTCCCAAAGATTTGAAGGTCAAGGCCCATGTCCTAAAGCCTGACATCAACATCACCCCAGAGCGGACTGTCCCATATCCTCAGGTTCGGTGGTTGGACCCTGGCACCCACCCCAACCATCTCCGGAACGGAGGTAGTTGGAGCCCTAGGGTCATATATGGCATCTGACCCCCATATAGGCCCAGTCCGCACCTGGCTCTCTGCTCAGAAGCATCTGGATCGTCCACCTGGGTGTGCCTGGCGACCGGCGACCGGGCATGTTTGTAGGCGCAGGGCATGCGCCAAACACCGGGACCTGAGTTCCAATTACGTTCAGCCTTCACCAGCCCTGCAAATTGAAAGATCCTGGGAGCAAACATGAATGATTCCAATGAAACACAACTAGCACGGTCCACAGCTGAGGACCATGTTCACACCTTGATGAACATCGTGGTCTCTCGCTCAGTTCGTCCCGACGGGACGACCATGAACGACCCGAAGAATCGTGTATGGTCGAAGGGAAGTTGAAATGAACTTGATGTGTCACCAAGTCGGTTGTTGGTTACGACGGTTACGAGATGTTACGAGAAGTGTTTTTAGTTGTGTGTCTTCTTAAAATGAGTTCTGAAGGTCCCAAAGAAGTGTTCACCATGATGTCACCCTCAAAATCATTCGGAAATGGCTGCTCTTGCCTTGACCCGCGAGCTCTGTGTTCACGAGGCCCATCTGGAAATGAAGCTCTTGGCCTTGCGGTGGGAGAGCCGGCGCGAAGAAAATATAGGAAATTATAGGAACACAAATGGCCCAACGATTCCCCAAAGGATCCTTTAAAGGGTTGTAATAGAAGTGTCTGTGCACCTCTGAGATACCAATCAAATCCAGTGGAATCTCCGTGGAATTGTGCCGGTACCATCAAAAATGGCTGGGGAGTTCTTTAATCTGTACAGCACAATCTTCAATCAGAATAGGATAACTTTTCTACCTTCCTTCACCTGCCCATCTATATAGTCCCTTCAGCGCAATTTTTTGAATTTGTTCATCCTCCTTGGAATACTTCCAAATATGCTGGCACAATGCAATTCAGCTTGTGCCAGCAACTCCAATACTAGCCGCGGCTAGCCCCACCCGGGCCTAGATGTTGTCCAATCACTCCGGACCGTAGGGACACAAACAAGAGGAGGTCTTTGGAGGTCGGAAGACGTGAAACGAACGAACGCACAGCGTTGGTGATGGACAGCGGGGTGCGGACAGCGGACGTGGTCGGACAGCGGAAGCACCAGGAATGGGAGAAAGGAACGACCATGGAGACTGCTGAAGCAATTGAAGGGCTCGAAATTGGATTGGAAGTGTGTACTCTCCCATACCAAGACATTTGTGGGTTGAGCCATCTGTTTCTGTTATGATGTACGGTATTATGATTCATGATTCATCTATTCATTTGCTACTCCCAACGACGACAAGCTGCTTGATGTGCGCCATGATGGCATCAGAACCAAACAGTGCACGCGGATCAAACGTCGTTGAGAAACATCAAACAAATTTATCATGACAATTCTAACTGCCGTCAGTCTGGAGTGATTCAAAAAAACATCATTCTATCTGCATGAACAAACACTGATACATGCTGAAATAATTTTGCTGGAACACACCATCCTGAGTCTTTGATTAGTTGACCCTTCTGCTCTGCTCACACCCTGAGACTCGCACTACCAGTGGACGCCACGAAAAGCAGGTCTACCTGGCCATACTCTTCACACTCGCGCTGGGGGCGCATCATGAAATCATTGAAATATCCAAATACACAGTGCTTCTCAAGGAAACATCCTGCTCCACCTGCGATGCGCATACAATAGACTAGAAAATCTACCGGATGCCCTTCTTGAGGGTGGCAGTCCCACGTCTTCCCCACTCGCAGATCGAAAAGCCATCAAAATCACCAAGCCTGTAACGATGTAAATCCCAGCATCAGAGATAGCTCATCGGGTCCACAGAAAGGTGGAACAACTGACTTCGTGCACGTCTCGTACCCGGTCGTGCCGGCCACGACGAGCGATTCGCTCATTCTGATTGACATGGCCATTGTCGCATTCTGCTACCGCAGACCACTTGTCACCCCAACCGCAACCAAAACTTTCACTACGTCACCCACCAAAAATTAATGCAATTTCTTTTGGAAGGGAATCTCACTCAGTGCCAAATTGCTGTAGTCCCCACCAACCCTCACCGTCACCATGTCCAAAGATCCCCTTCAGCAGTACGGAATAAGCTCGGCGCACGTCGCCTGCCGAGGCGTACCTGGTCGCCGCATGGCAGCGGAGAGGTCCGGATGCGGACCCGGGTGGGATGGCCTTTCAGGAGGGCCACAGGTCCGAAGCGTCCCAAACCCAAATGCTGGGCCCCTTTCAAGACATGTGCAGCACTGAAAATGCATTCTAAAGAAACAGCAGGGCCACGCTGGTGAAAGAAATGCTGAATCTGGTGGTGATTTCATGTTCAATGTTTTCTTGCACAGAAACTTCCAAAACACAGGCCTGGGTTGATAATTCTGTAGTCTTTTGGGGGGTACTAGAAGACACACAACCGAAAAGAAGCATGTTGGGCTTGGGAGCCTTGGGGAAAATGCCATAGACAATCAAATTCTGTGCTAAAAAGAAGGACAAAAACAGCATGTCTTTCTTAACAGGTCTTGCAAATGGTGCGTGTCTTCCCTTGACCAGCCCTTCCGAACGCTCCTGTCTTCCGAACGCCCCTTCCTGCGCTCGCATCATGCCTGGGTCCAAGGGCATCGGCCTAGGGGGGGCCAGGTCCATTTACAATGCTGCGGTGTTCACCAGAAATGATCGGGCCAGCTGGAGCATTCTGTGGAGTTGAAGAATGTTGAAGATACATGTGGGCACCATTTTGGTGTGAACTGCGGGCAGTCATGGTCCACCGCCAAATGGGACAAACGATTGGTCCTTTGAGACACACCAAAATAGAATCTCACTCCCTTGGCCATGTAAAGGGTCATGTGACTGAAACAAGAACAAACATGAAACAGAAACAACACTTGTTTGTGGGAATCGAGCTGTTTCTCTATGATCCAGACTTCCCGGCTCATAGAATATATCATGTTGGGTGTTGTTGGCTGCCAAACTGCTTTGTAAGTGGAGTGCGGTATCAGAACACAATTAGCTCCAGTTGCTATATGGTTCCATCACATCTCACGCTTCCCCTGACCTAGTTCGGACACATCTGCTCACTGGCTTTAAGGCGCTCTGCGGGAGAGTCTTCTCCGAAGTTGACACCCTCTTCCCACATGCAGTCAAACATCCACATTGGATTCGATCGCAGAAATTCAAGATAAGTCTTCCAAGGGTCGGAGATGATGCTTAATTAGTCCAGCCTGAGCCCTTTTGGCACACACACCAAGTGCTTGACTCGGAGTGAAGCTCGCGTGAAGCTCTACCAGTGGGAGCGTGAAGCTCTACAACTCCAACGTTGTACAGACCGTCAAATGGATAGAACGGTCTTCCATGCCTCTTTAGTCCTTTCACCTATTGTTAGACATTGGACACTGCCTGTTTTTGAGGCACACCGGCAGGCGTCGCCTGACCCGGCCACTCCGACAGCGACCGCTCGGTGCTTCACCAAGCTGCTCTAAGACGAAGCTTTGGAAGGCCTGCGCATGAGCCTGGACAGCGCTCTGAACTCCAGAAATGTCACCATCGGTCACCAGCGCTCAGGTGATTGGCCCTGGCTGGTCCCGAATGTGGAAGGGGTGGGAATTGGATGAAACATGATCAAACGACATCTTACAGCGGCCAATTGACGCACCCCGTAGCGATTGGAGTCCAAGAGCTTCACCCTCCGAACGCCTCCGGTGAGAGCCGCTGAAAGCCCTCGGGCAGCAGCACCTTGCTGGCGGTTCAGAGCGGCGTGTCTATGAGGATCACGGAGAGGGCACTGGAAGGCGTGAGGACCTAGACCAAACTTCAAGTACCCTAGAAAATGGGACATGACCCCCAAAACAGGTGATTGTACCGTACCCATTGTCTGAGGCACGAACTGAGACTTCAGGTTTTCGAACTGTACTCAGGCTGCATGAGCTCCAGATCCCGCACACCAGTAAATTAACATCTCGTTGTTCACTGCAGTATCTGCAGTGGTGTTGACGCTGTTTGGAGATACTGTCAGGCTTGATGCATCCACATGTTGGAACTATACTGCAACTCATAGCAGCACGTGTAGAAGTAGTCTGACATCTTACGACGCTTGGACAGTATTCAATGGTTCGGCGCTGGAAAGGGAACATGCGTTTATTATCGTTTATTTTTACCTTTTATCGCCAAGAGTTTATCTTATATAGTGGGGGTACTGATTTGCCCAAACATATCTTCATGCGCAGGAGACAACATAGAGTCAATATATACTTGCAATTATTTGCAGAAGTCATTACTCTCCACCAGCGCCACACATGTCAAATGGTTCTTGGATGGAACATATATATATATATCCATTATAGTGGGGTCTTTTTCAACCACCAGGACTGATGCCTCACAAGGCGACTTCGACTTCTCCTCCGGGATGACCAAGCATGGCGCTTTCGCATCATGCGAACCATCACGCTTTGGCCGCCGAAACCTTCTGATTCGAGCGCCGCACCTTTCGCGCTTCTCTTTTCTGTAACGAAGACCCCAACGAATCATGTGGAATCACGACGCAGGCGCGCACAACCAAATGCAAAGGCCTGGTTCCTACTACCCTCCACAAACACGTCGTCTTGAGAAGACAGAAAGCAACGAAGTCAATCTCTATCAGTGGGACTTATTATCCATCGACCACGACCAGCAGCAACAACAACAATGACAACAGCAGCAACAACAACCACGAGAACCAGACCGAAAGCAGAACCAGAAACACCTGCCAGCAACACCAGCCAACCACCTACCCCTCCACCCAATCAACCTCCGACGGCTATATTATATATATAATTACAAGAAAAGCCCACCAGAACAGGCTCAGCCCCATCCCCTGGTACAGGCTAACTGTATACTTGATCTTCATCCGTCCTACACTCCATGTAAAAAAACAATTGGTCCCTTTGCAGCAGTGCTATGTGATCCGAGAGATCAGGGCTCGGCAGGTTGACCTCCCTAGTAGTCGATTCCCCCCCCTGGTCGCCACGGGGTGCGAAGAAGAACACGCAACGCGACGCGCGGCGCCGGTGGACCTGGAGGAGCATCCCTGGCAACACACTCTCCGCGGCCACCAAGTGGAAGGCCTCGGACGATGGTTTTTCACGTCGTCCGATGGTTTTCGTGTCCGGTTCGGCACAGCAAGGTTCGGCACAGCAACAAGCGGCCAGTGAGGTGGTTTAGAGCCAATGACTCACTGGTTGTGGGTCAAAATCAACAGCCAAACATATCAGCATAGTATAGCATAGTTGGACTATGTTGGACTATACTATTCCAAGCAGTTCCTCAAAAAAGGGACTGCAAATGTTGGGTCCACACCCATTTCAAATGACATGAGTCTAAGGTGTGCTGTCCGAGCTTCAAACGCTAGGTTCCTAAATGGTGCATTTAGTGGTAGTGGAACCACTGTGAGTTCAAAGGGGTGTGAATGCAGCTTCAGCGTCTTGACATCCTCCACCGACATCAACATATGTCCTCAAAACCCACCCAAAGAGATGTTTGATGAATTTTGATACAAACTGTCAAAACTTTTGCGGCGTGAACAAACATAATTTAAAGAATTTGCACATACTCAGTGCATCACTCTGGACCTTCCATGCCACAAAATTAACATGCTCCAAGAACTCATTGATCACCCCACCTTCCGGAAACCCCTTCTCTTGGGGCCGCGTGCGACTTGGCAGGTGGCCCCGGCCGCTGTGCTGGTCGTTTGAAGCCTCAAATTACAGTGGTGCACTACATCTCGGGCAAGCTTGAGAAAAAAACGGACTGCTTTGGATCTGGCTGGGGGTCAAAACCGGGGAACCCTGGTTGCCCGCGGAAAAATGAACAGGATTGACGACTAAGGAGTTCAACCTAATATAGACTCGTGATTTCCTGATTAATATCTATTAAGCTATATTTATATAGCCCCCCAAACCCTAAAAAGGATAATCCAATCCATGTCTGGTCTTAATAATCAAGAGTCTGCATTACTTTGAATTTTGCACGCACAAACATGCGTGCAATGAAAAAGTAGTCCAAGTCGCAAAGGACGTCTTGTTGGGTCCCAAATATACCGGGATATAGAGGTACAGGTGCTTTCCATTGGACCGTCCATATACCAAGCTGGGATTGGACCGTCTACTATAATCCTGCTAGGAGTGCGAGTGGTGGAAGGTGTATGATGCTACATTCCCTTCAGGAAGCCCAAGGGCTCTGAGTTGACAGACGTTTTAAATCTTTGAAGTAATTAAGCAAATCACGACAACGTGAGGGCCATAGGATTCTGCCATCCATCATTCATGATTCGCATGATGAGTGCTCCTGTTCAAGAACCATCGGTTTCTGAGATGGCAAAAGACCTGAAACCCAGGAGTGAAGAGCCCGGGCCGCACCCGCCATCCTTCAGACCGGGCCAATCGACCAACGACTTCAGACCCTCTTGGACCATGCGTTCGCACGAGCGAAAGAGGGTACGGTCAACTGGGTCCTCGAATGGTGTTGACCATGCATCGAAGGCCCTGGAGCAATATCTGCATAGATGTTGTCAGATGCTCAAATATGAACTGACCAAGGTTAAGAGGCACACACTAAATAGAAAGCAATGATTTTGTTGGAGCACTCGCCGAAGGCTTGTGATTATCCAGAAGGTGTTTTTTACAAATCCCATCCTGCAGGATCCTGCAGGTCATCCTGCAGGTCCTGCACTCCCATCCTGAACCACCTCACCACTGGTCCTGTGGACTTTTGGAGCAAATTTCCTCAACTTTCGAGCTTCCATCCACTCAGCAGGAAGTTTTGATCCTTGTGGATTCACGGGTGGGTCAACATGAGCAGCGCTGAAACAAAAATGGCCCCCACTGCTCAAGAACAGAAAATGATTCTTTCAAAGGCTGCATCTTCATTGCTAGCACTTGGAGCAACATAACAAAATCTCTGTCAGCTTCGGACATACTGTGACATACTGATCACTTGGAGACGGGCCAAAGGTTCTCAGCCCAAGAACTCCACTCCCCCCCAAACAAACCGAACAACTCCAGGCAGCTGTATGGAGCGAAAAGGTGCCACCACTGCAAAGCCCTGCAGCGCAGCCTCCCGAACGCAGCGGAAATAACCGAACCGTAGGCTGGCAAGGCTGTCAGGCTGTCTTGGTGGATGAGGAGTTCAACTGCGTGAAAGGAGTGCAAAGGATTGGCATTTAGGGATGCTGCTTGTTTTTCATCGGATTTCACTGCTTTCTCATCAGTGACTGCGGTGGTTAAACCGCAGTTGTCACTGAAACGACTCGATGACTAGCGGTTGCGTTCCAAATACCTTTGGATTCCTGTGGATGATCAATTGCAGTAACGGCAGTAACCCCAGCAAAAGGTATAAGCAAATGTCCTGACCAAATGCTCCTGCACTATTTTTTTCACATTACCCAGCCCCAACTGTGAAGGAAGGCCATCCCAACTCATCTGCTCGTCCAAATGCTGCTGATCCTGCTGATCTTCCAAGAGCACATGCAGAATTGTCTTCGCCACATGGAAAGTGATGGGTCTACGTCACATGCTGTAGTTTCACAACCATGAACCAATCAACTAGCTGATACCATATTAACTACTGAAAACAATAAACATGTTCAAGTAAAAATCAAGAATACATGTTCCAAGATATTGGTGTCCCTTACTTTTCCGTCCCCACATCTGAGTTACCCTACACAAGTCTTAGGTACTGGCCCAACCTAATCGAAGCATTTGGAGCTCATTTTGGTCATATTATGGATGCAAACAAACATGGTTAGAACAAGTATGTCGAGAGCGAAATAATAACAATAATAACAATAATAATCATCATCATGAATAATGTCTATGTCAGAGTTATATGGGCATAGTAGACAAAGAACACCAATTGATCCGATCCCAACCCTAGACCGCAACCTCTCAATGGAGATAATTACACACAAAAAATATCACAATTTATCTCAAACCAATAATAAGATCTTATGAACATGATGACACTGCACACCTCAACACCCACCCATGCATTGGCAAACCACTCCATCCCGCACAACACGCCTCACAGTGGCTGACCTGACAGCGTCGAGAGCACTGGCTTTAGGCCCTCCACCCGCAAGGACAAGGGCATAAATGCACAATAATATATTTTGCCCATCCAATGAAACATCGTACACACATAATATAACGCGATCACACACATGCCTTTGTTACCAAAGGAAGGTCGTGATCCACCAACCACCGGGCCATCCATGGGGAAGAGGATAGCTATGGCGAGGTGACAGGCGGCGAGGAGTAGTGTTGTCCAAGAACCTGCTACTCTACCAATCTGTCGCGATGTTGTCTGAACGTTCGAGGCCATTCTATTCTGCATCTATTCAGCATGTGCATGGAAGCTGCTTCAGTTGTAGACAATTGTTGACAGCAATGATGTTCATGACTGTTTCCAATCTTGGGGGGGTTCACCTCATGTTCATTTATATAAGGGTTTGGCTGCCCACCAACATACACCAGACTGCCTCCGCTATGGACGGCGGCCCTAGATAATGAGATCTCCCGTTGATATTTACGAAGGCAGAAGGGTCGTGGGCAAGTTTCTTTTCAGCCACTGTAGCTGCCTTCCTAGAATCAAGTATGCAAACTGAATCGGGATTTCTTCACAACTCAATAATAGAGGCGTGAACCAGTCTTTTGTTCACCATCAAAGCAGCACCTACTGCGCAGCCCACCCTCTGCCTCTGCTGAGTAGAGTCGCAGATACCAAGTGTTCCAAAGCTCCTTTGGTGTTTTCGATGTCGTTGGGTGACCGTGAACAGCAATCTGTGCCTTGAACTGAAACCTTACCTACAAACCAGTGCCAAAACAGGAGTTGCATACACCAAGTTGCCTCATCTGCAAGCCACCGGATGTTTGCAAAGAGAAGATATATCAGCATGTGAATAAAATTGAGGTCAAGAGTTCGCCGTATATCACCCTTCATTTGATTTCCAATCAAACGTGGTGTGGACCCATTCGCTGAATGTCCACCATCCTCGCCGTCCTCGGGTGCACTGCGCGGGTTGCGCACAGCAAACTCCAGGCTGGAGAAGCGGCTGGTGGAAAGGACCTGGCGACACCAGTGGATGCACTGCGCAGCACATCAGACCTCCCAAATCAGAAAGTAAACACCAAGCAAATCTCTTGGAGCCGGTTGCTTTAGGTAGAGACACTTCTGCTGGGGAATAGTTTTTTTCTTTATGCTAACGGTTCTTTTTTTATGCTGGATTTGGGTGGGTTCTTTTCTTTATGCTAACGGTCTTTTTTTTATGCTGAGGGTTTTTATTTTTATGCTGAGGGTTTCTATTTTTATGCTGAGGGTTTTTATTTTTATGCTAACGAATGTAATTGTCGCGGGG